TGTGATTTTCATTCTTTAATCATATACTGTTAGAAGGAAGTTGGCTATACAAGCATTTTAGGGTGCCTATATATTTCCCAAATCATTTCTTTAAGATAAAATGCAGGCAGTAGTTTCAGACAGCCAGGCATTCCTGTCTGATCTTTATGGATTGCCATTCAGTTGATAATGAAAAGGCATTAGTTTTTCCCCACAAACAAAAATCCCTATGGTATATTGACAAGGTTGCAGAAGCGATCCACTGTGACTACACTGTTTTTTTCTGTTCATGATCGGGTGTGTTTGTCTAAGAATATACTTAGACCAATATCCGTACACTTTAAAAGACTTATACCTAGTTCTATTTATCCATGTTGTATGGCTATATCATCATCATCATCATCATCATCATCATCATCATCATCATCATCATCATCATCCTTCCCATCTTCTTCATTACCCGCTTCTTATTGGTATCATTATGATGATTATGACTACTCTGCTGCTTTGCAGCTTTTGCACTGGAGACAAATTCCTCCGATCACACTTGGCCAATAAAGTACAGTATTCTATTCTACGACTCCATTGGGGAAAAAAATCTCGAAGCGAGCAACCCTTCCGAGCGGTTCTACTGAGAAAAAACCTCGCCACGTAAACATCGATGGAAGCCCATCCTCCCGACCCAGGGACCCAATCTCTTCCCCAGCCGTACTCACGAAGAAAAGCTCCCGCTTTCCTGACACCGTCTCCGACTCCGGCATCGCGGACTTTTCCTGTCGAGGCCAAATACGGCGCGCAAAGATGACGACTTTCCACCCCCCCCCNGCTTTCATTCCTAAGGTGGCCCAAAGTCACCTAAGCTGGCTTTCATTCCTAAGGTGGCCCAAAGTCACCTAAGCTGGCTTTCATTCCTAAGGTGGGACTCAAATTCACAGTCTCCTGGCTTCTAGCCTGATGCCCTAACCTTTAGACAAACTGGTTCTCATGTGCCCTGTTCTGAACTCCCTAACCTTAACTTTTTGTAACAGTTACTGCTCTCCTCTGAAGGGGTAGGTAACCATTTTATGCTTCCGAACTAATAAGCAGGAAACAGTATTTGTTTCCCAGCTACATTTCGAGGGCTGCAAAAGAGCAATAGCACTTAGACTTGTATACCACTTTATAGTGTTTTACAGTAGGAGTCACCAACCTTTCTGACCTCAGGGATCACTAAATTCAAATTTTAAATCCCGTGGACCACTAATATGATCTGTCTAATGACCAGCTGGGTGGGCGTCGCTAGGTGGTCATGTGACTGGGTGGCCATGGCCAACTCGATGTCACTTATGTCAAGGGGCACCTTGCCAACCTCTACTTGCCACTCCTCGCCTGGGCTTCTTAGGGCCCCAACAGGAAGCAGTTGTTGGAGCTAAGCAACCACCACAAGAAAGAGTTGGGAAAATAGCTAAATTCAAATTGGATCTGACCGAGAAGGAGGCTCAGCAGAAGCACCTCACTGGGGCTATGAGTATAGGCTTTCCAAGCAGAGGGAAGACCTGCAATAAGGCCAGGTTCCGGCGCTTGGGAAGCTCAGCAGGCTGAGATGGTCAGCCAGTTCTAGGCCATGATGCAGTCCCACTGGAACAAGATCCTCCGGCTCTTCCCTCCAGCCTTCGCCCAAAGCCCCCCACCAGGAGGCTGAAGCAGACCCCAAGTCCAAATTTCTGCCCCCTCTGCGACCTGCAAAAAAGACCCCGAAGGGGGAGACTCTCTGCAGCAACACAAGCGTTCATTGCATGTATCTGGTCCAGGGGCCGTAGTTTGAGGAGCCTTGATTTAGTGCAATATAAAAAATGCAAATAAGTTTTCTGGGTATCACCAAAATTTTCTTGTGGACCACGAGCGGTCCACGGACCACCAATTGGTGACCGCTGTTTTACAGCACTCTTTAAGCAGTCAGCATATTGCCTCCAACAATCTGGGTCCTCATTTACTGACCTTGGAAGGATGGAAGACTGAAAGATGCACAACTGAAAGGTTGATAGTGATGCACAATTGATTTTTTGTCCCCAAATCTTTGGTAAGAGTTTAAAAAATATTAGACTTAACCGAAGTTCCCAGGGCTGTACAAACTGACCTGCAGAATGCCAGATCCATTTCTAACCTAGCCTAAGATTTTCTCACTTTAGGAGGGTTAAATCAGGGGTACAAAACAATTTGGTGGCTGCTCTCCGTCCAATCTATGCTTTGGGAAATTTCTTCCAGGGATGGGATTTTAGCCTGTATCATCATATCATGCAGACCGCTCGATTCAGTGCCTACCTTCTCAAAATGGCCACTGCGGATGTAGTAATCTGCCAAAGAACACCACAGCTTGCCCAACTGGTCTGTGAAACGAGTTAGGCCACCTCGGATGATGGCCCCCACGTTGAGTGACTTCACCTTGTCTGGATTTTGAGAGATGAGATCACAGAGCTCGTGCCATAACTGCAAAAGAAGCCCAAAGGGCCAAACAGTAAGAGGCAATAGAGAACTCCGAAAAGCTTCTGAGAGGCATAGGAAAAGCACGCAGGCTTAGGCAAAGGAGATTTAATATGCAATTAAATGGATGGTAGAAATGATTGTCTATTACAGAAACCTACCTGATAATTGGATTTCCCCTCCTTGGAAACAAAACGCTCATCATTCACTACAGCTGCAAGACGGACAGCGGCTTCATCCAGACGGTCAATGGAGTGCAGATACTCAATATATTCCTCTGCGTTCTCAGGGCTCAGCTGCAACGTAAAAGAAACCATACCTATAAACCTCATATCACGGGCTCAGAGCACTTAGCCGTTAAGAGAGTTTAGGATTACTTAGGGTGCTGATGGAAATGCTATTCTGAAAACTAGTCGACTGCAAGAACCAATCTGCATTCATCAGCCTACGTTAGATGAATATATTAGGTGTTCAGTTTATGACTATTTTGCTTGGGAGAGAACACTGAGGAATAATTAAGCTGTACTTGGTCACTGTTATATAAGAGTTTGAAAACACAAAGGGGAGCAAAACTCAGCAACCCTAAACTTAAACTACTTCTGATTATTAATATATCTAATTATCACACTCAGAAATGAAAGAACTGAATCCCCTGATTTTCAGGGCCATGTGCCAACTATATTTTCTTTCCCCTCTGTAAAATTAGCTTTATGCTTTGCGCCTGATTTTTCAGACTCTGCCTGACTTTTCTGCAATCATCATCCCTCAGTAAAAAGTTCCTTTTGAATTGTGTCTGTTTTCAAGAGTTTTATTTCTTGGCAGAGGAGTTGAGGCAGGTTCTATTTGTCCACAAATCCTATGCCAATTAAGAAAGAACAGGAAAATGAGACTAGGCCAAGACTGTAGTATTTCCTTAAATGCCTTAGCTCAGAAACTTTAACTAATCTTTTGAGGTCTTTAACCAAGTTTTATCCTTAACTTGCACATGGGATCAGGTACATTCCATTATTCCCCAACTCTGGCAACTTACAGATATGTGGACTTTACCTCTTGAAATTCTTAGCAATGGTCATGATGGTTGTGAAATTATGATAGTCTGTACGTATATCTAGAAGTTGTTTTTGAGTCACATATTATGTAATCACTTCTTTTATGTACATTTACAAGATTCCAAAGAAAAAGGACAAAGATTCTGTATTTTAGTAGTTGTGTACAAGGAGGAACGATAGAACATTAACTTGCCATGTGTGGGGGGACACAGACAAACACACACACACACGCACACACACACTCCCACTGTGCTGGTTTGCCATATTAAAGCTGATGACATCTGAACATATTTACACCTGATTTTTATCATAAACATGCAGAGAACAAATAGAAGCACCTATAACAAACCACAATCAATCAGCTGAAGGTCACAGTTACCTCAACAAAAACGCCAATTTTTATGCCTTTCTTGTCATAATTCACATCACTTGCATAAAACACACTAATCAAACAAACTATGTCTGTTCTTAGACTTTAACAGAAATAGTCTTCTTCAGGCCAAAGGTTTGCAATAAAGGACTCAAGAAAACTGCAAATAAAAAAAAATTCTCAGTTCCTTATCTATGCCAGTAACAAAAAGTAGCCAAAACGGGGAAGAACCAAGGTATTCTCTCATTGACTGCCATTTTTTTAGAGTAAACAACCACTTCAAAGAGGGAAATTCTAATAAAATATATATTACAGGTAGCTCAGGACTTACTACTACAATTGGGACCAGAATTTCTGCTGTTAAACTAGACAGTTGTTAAATGTTGTGCCCAATTTTATGACTTTTTGCCATGGCCGTAAAGCAAATCATTGCAGTAATTAAGTGAATCATGCAGTTGTTAAGTGAACCTGGCTCCGCTGCCCCATTGACTTTGTCAGTAGTCAGTTGGGAATGATGCAAATGGCAGTCACATGAACATATATACATCATTAACTGTATCCCTTATCCTTATCATTCCATTGTTAGTTGTTATAATTAATATTGGTTAACAAAAAATCCTTTACTATTATGTCTATTTTCTTCTCATCAAACCAACATACATACATACATACATACACACACACACACACACACACACACACACACACACACATATATATATATACACACACACACACACATACATACATACATACATATATACATATATACATACATACACATATATTTAGTGTCACAACCCCTGGTAAGCCCCAATTATGGGAGGAAGCTAACNCAGGCTTTCCGCAAAGCCCTTAAAACCTGGCTGTTCCGACAGGCCTGGGGCTGATGAGTTCCCTTCCCGGCTCAAATTGTGTGGCTGTTGATTGTTCTTAAATTGTTGTGTTGTTTGTCTGTTGTCTCTTTTTTTTCTTTTTCCTGTTTGTATCCCCCCCACCCTTACTTGGTTTGTGAGCTGCCCTGAGTCCCTCTGGGAATAGGGCGGCATAGAAATACAATCAAATCAAATCAAAATCAAATCAAATCAAAATCAAATCAATTAATTTTCAAGCTGTAAGTGTCGATTTATCAAGCCCGATCACATAGTTTCATAGCGAAGGACGGGTATTAGCTAGTACATACATACATGATTTTAAAAAAAACAAACATATAAGAATTTGGGAATTCTTCTTTTTGGAGGAAAATACGTGTTTCAGTGTGTGAACTCTAATCTGCACTTGCTAATAGGCTTTGTAGAGAAACAATTCTGCCTCCCACAGTTACTCCTTGGGGCTTAAACTTTGAGGCACTCTCTGTTTCCTGGAGATCAGAAACTTGGAGCTATTGAGGAAAGGGGTACAGCCCTCAACTTATGATCTCAATTGAGCCCAAAATTTTCTTGCTGAACAAGACAGTTGTCAAGTGAATATAAGTCCTGTAAAATAATTTCTTTTCTATGATTCAACTAATGGCATTTGGTATTTTTTCTTTCTCTTTCAGATGATACTGTATCTAACATTCCCGGTCTCTATATTCTGGATAGCAAATCAGACGGAATTGTTTGAAAAATATGGAATCGCAGTAAGTAATTAAATGACAAAAATTTGGGCTAATAATTTATTTCCAAAGTTTTCCTGATGTTCATCTTCAAAACAAAAGGGAATCAACCTGATATCTTATTCCTGGTATCTGAAAAGATAAGTAACAAATCTGTGAACACCTAGGGCAGGGGTCCCCAATACCCAGTCTGCGGCCTGATACTGAGCCATGCCCAATGGGAACTGGGCCATGCAAGTGGCAGGCGAGCTTGCAAAGTTGCATTTGTGCAAGCAGTGTGGATGTGAAACCATCCCCTCTCTTCCCCCTGCAACCACTGCTGGCCTGCAGAGCTGGAACGGTTGGAGACTGCTGACCTAGAGGCAAACGTCATAACCAAAAGCCAACTTAGATTTGTTAAAAACAAATCATGCCAGAGAAATCTTATTGCATTCTTTGACATAGTGACAAAATTAGTGGACCAGCAAAATGCTGCGGATATAATTTACTTGGATTTCATTAAGGCATTTGATAAAGTTGACCACAACCTACTACTTGATAAAATAGAAAAATGTGGGTTAGACCACATCACAACCAGATGGATTTGTAACTCAAAGAGACAAACCACACTCAATGTGTAGTCCTTAATGGAAGTGCATCTACATGGAGGGAAGTATGCAGTGGGGTACCTCAAGGCTGTCTTAGACCCAGTACTCTTCAATATCTTCATCAATGACTTACATGAGGGAATAGAAGGGGAACTCATCAAATTTGCAGATGACACCAAGCTCACAGGAATAGCCAATACTCCAGAAGATGGGATCAAGATACAGAAGATCTTGACAGATTTGAACAATGAGACTTATCTAACAAAATGAAATTCAATGTAGAGAAAAGCAAGGCTTTATATTTAAGCAAGAAAAAAACAAATGCTCAAGTATAGAATAGGAGGTATTTGGCTCAACAGTAATAACTGTAAGAGGGATCTTAACTATGAGACAGCAGTATGCTGCAGCTGCCAAAAAAGCCAACACAGTCCTAGGCTGCATTAATGGACAGATAGAATCAAGATCATGTGAAGTGTTAATACCACTTGTCAATGCCTTGTTAAGACCATACTTGGAATATTGCATCTAGTTTTGGTCACCACAATATAAAAAAAGATGTTGAGACTCCTGAAAGAGGGCAGAGAAGAACAACAAAGATGATGAGGGGACTGAAAGCTAAAACATGAAGAACGGGTATTGTAGGTTGCAAGAATTGGACATGCCTAATTTAATAAAAAGGACTAGGGGTGACATTATAGTAGCATTCCAGTATCTAAATGCTGCCACAAAGAAGAGGGGGTCAACCGATTCTCCAAAGCATCTGAAGGTAGGACAAGAAGCAATGGAGGAAAACGAATTAAGGAGAGAACCAGCCTAGAACCTAGGAGAAATTTCCTGACTATTAGAACAATTAATCAGAGGAACAACTTGTCTCCAGAAGTTGTGTATGCTCCAACACTGTAGGTTTTTAAGAAGAGATTGGACCACTATTTGTCTGAGAGGGTAGAGGGTTTCCTGCTTGAGCAATGGGTTGAGATAGAAGACTGCCAAGGTCCCTTCCAACTCCATTATTCTGCTATTCTGCATTTTTTCTATTTTGATTTAAACTGAACAAGGACTTGCTCAAGCATTGGCTGAACTCAATAGTCTATCGTGCTGAAATAAAAGAAATTCACAAATGGAACATAGTGCATCTTTCCTCCTAAATGATTGATTCCAGTTTCCATTCAATGATTACTTTTAAGCACAGCATTTTACTTACTGATCTCCTTTCCATTTTTTCTTGATGGCATTTTACATTCTGTCATTACTTGTTGTATCACTTCTGACACTAATTGTTTTCTTGCTACATTTTCTACAGAGCAGCATCTTTCCACCTCTAAATGAAGAGCAGGTAAATCTGTTGCTACAATAAATGTCATTATTGTAAACTTTGGAAGGGAGAAAAACCTATGGTGAAAATTGCATTTTTGTCTTCTCCAGAGAAAAGATCTAGAAGCCTTTAGAAAAAGACTGCGGGAGATGAATGAGAAGAAACAGCTGCAGGAGGCTAAAAAATAATGGAGTGGTATTCCACAATAAATTCTGTATTTTGTATATATGTAATTCTCAATTGTATTCTGTAAATATCTCAGGCATTTTTGGGATATAAATGAGAAAATTTTTGTTTCTTCAGTTGTGATCAGTCTCTTGCAATGTATAATCATTAAAATTAATCACTGACTTGGCAACTGTCTCATGTGAATCACCTTGACTAAAGCAACATACAGGAAGATTATATTAGTGTGTATAGTACTTTATTTGCTTCTCCCAGACTGAAGTTCAGTTTGTGATGTTTTCTTAGGTATCTTTGAATCAGAATTAGTCAACTAATAGGAGCAAAACAACTAAAGGGGAACTGGGTTAGGGAACAGTGGTGTATGGGATTAGTAGTGTATCGTCTTTTTCCAATAACTGCTGAACAAGGTTAGTCTTGATTTGAAAAGCTGGAAAGAAAGAAAACGATAGGTGGAGAACCTAAAGGTGGTTTTCCAAAAGATATCTAGACTTTCTTGGTTTTTCCTTGAAAACATTTTGCTTCTCGTTCAAGAAGCTTCTTCAGTTTTCAAACCAAGACTAACCTGGTTCTTGAATTAAAGAAGCTTCTTGGATGAGATGCTAAATGTTTGCAGCAGTTGCCAAGTGCCTTTTGGAAAAGCACATTTGGGACAACCAGTAGCTTCTCTGAGCACTCCTATTGCTTGGGTTTTAGTTCCCCTGCACTTTTATTCTTATTTTAATGCTCCTTGAATATATGTGGTTGAAAATGTATGCAGATTTCATGTGAAAAGGAATTATAAACATCTGTTCCAAGTCACAAGGATGTCAAATTGATGAGACCTGCATTGAGACCTAGTAATTCTTCCCTTTCATACCTGCCTCATGGTGTCACATGTAAGGGTATTGTGGGCTGAGTTTACTTTGCAATGTGCATTTAGTCATTTGTGCCCACTAATGCCATTGCAAATAGCAATAGCATTTAGACTTATATACCACTTCACAGTGCTTTACAGCTCTTTCTAAGTGGTTTACAGAGTCAGTATATTTCCCCCAACAATCTGCGTCCACATTTTAACGACCTTGGAAGGACGGAAGGCTGAGTCAACCTTGAGCCAGTCCGGATTGAACTCCTGGCAAGTTGGCAGAGTTAGCCTGCAATCTCGCATTTTAACCACAGCACCATCAGTGCTGTTCTATAGATACCTAGAGAAGGATATGGGTAAGTGTGTTCTTAATGTGCTATTCTTTCAATAGCCGTTCTGGTTCTTTTCCATTGAATGAGAACAGGTGTCACTACCCCATCTAGTACAGGCAATTTAAATCAGGAATTCAAGAGGGCTTATTGGGATCAATTTATTTGTTTTCTAGGTTATGACATGAAACTGAACCATGAATAATGTTAGAGGTGTCATTTTCTTTTTGATGGAATTTGGGTCCAGTTATCTAGTCCAGCGGCAAGAGCTTTGTCTCTTGAGGGAGAAAGCGCGATTCAGAATTCTTTTGTCTTATGTATTCTTCACTATTTCCTGAGCCGCAGACAGAATTAGTAGCAATGTTATCCACATTTTTGCTTTGCTTATACATATGGGTAGCAAGAAACAGCTATCATCTTCTTCAAGCCACCAGCAGTGTTGTCTTGTAGTGGCATGCCCATCCTGCTACTAGGAGATCTGCTAAGGAAATCAACAAGGAGGAACGGTTGGGCATGTTTATTAGAATCACAGAGCATATACAGTAAATGTGCAGGGCTGATACAGCAGTGAGGGGATGATCTTGAGTGAGAGCCACAGTGCATGCTTGGTGGCATCACATTGGTGTCTCTCTGCTGCTTTTCCAAGCAGGGCTGGGGAAGATCTCATTTCTGCAAGAAGAAAATAGGCAGAGGATGATAATGCAGCAAAAGACAGAATAATTTTCCTCTCCATAGAGTGGCTTGACTAGGTAGAAGCAGACACATAAGCATACATATGCATACACAGATAGAATCAACTGGGGCCCGAATTTTGAGAGGCTATGACTGGGTGCCCTGAATCCTTTCATAGTGATAGATAATGCACAATTCTCACTAGAGACTTTTGCACCAAGCACATTGTCACCTTATGACAAATACCCTGGATTTTTTTTGCCCCTAAAGAAATTTGCCAACATAATTTATCTTTGCTCAAGGCACAACTGTCTGTCCTATTCCCTTCTGTTTGCTTGACTTACTGAGATCAAGAGTGTTGATGCCCATGGGAAAACAAGTTGCTTGATAATGTGAAGAAAAAAGAAATAGTAGTTTGGTCCACATAAGTGCTAAAGAGGTGGTAACTATGTTTGGCCAGTCCTTGAAGCTAGGGTTGCCAAGGAAGGCTTTCAAAAATAGGTCTTCTATTCTATGGAACAGGTAGGAAGCACTCATGAGTCTTAATGCATGGATGTGAGGATGGTGCCAAGAGGAAAGATTCAGATTGGTTGGGCACTGGAGGACTTTTTAGGTACAAAAAAGACTGCATTTGAACTAAAATGCAACCGGGTTCCGGATGCATCCCATCACAAAGGTAGAGAACAACTTTGAAATGGCAGGAAACCCATCCACAGACTGTCTCAAAATTGCAAGATGGGATATGTTGTTGTGATCAAAGCCCTTTTTACATGTATACAAAACGCACATGTGCAAACATGATAGCTCCATAGATGAAATTGCTGTTTCTTATGCTATTATTATCTTGAAAAATATATCAAGTTTCTCTCGTGTTTGCTAAATGATGGTGGAATAAGGGGAAAGAGTGTCTCCATTTCTTTTGTGCTGCAAAGGTGTGTGCTAGTTGTTGTTATCAAGGTTTCAGATTTTACAGTATATATTTTCCATTACATGATCCATCCTGAGAATTTTAGTGAGTTAGGGAACTCATTAAAAAAAGCAAAAGAGATGCCGCACTATTTATATTTCCTTTGCCTGTTTCAGTGGTGGAATTCAAATTTTTTTACTACCAGTTCTGTGGGCGTGGCTTGGTGGGCATGGCAGGGAAAGGAGACTGCAAAATCTCCATTCCCTCCCGATCAGCTGGGACTCAGGAGGCAGAGAATAGATGGGGGCAGGGCCAGTCTGAGGTGGTATTTACCGGTTCTCCGAACTAATCAAAATTTCCGCTACTGGTTCTCCAGAACTGGTCAGAACCTGCTGAATGCCACTTCTGGCTGTTTCCAGACTTAGTAAGAAAAGGCGTCTGAGAATAGGGTGTATGGCCTAATCAGTTTGATTGATTTACCAACCCTGCTTCTTTACTGTCTGGGCAGGTTTTAATGGCCATCCTGCCTCTGTTCACATCCATTTCTGAAGAGACTCACCTTGGTGGCCCCGGAGCCTGATAGGCTGCTGGTGTTACTGCTCTGAAAACCAGGAAGGTAGTTGAAGCTGACTCTTTGATCGTCCATTCGTCGGCTCTGTGTATGAGCCAGCATTTCCATGAAGTTATCCATTTCAGGGGGTGGGCTGGGACTGTCCTCTGCAGGCCCAAAAAATAGAAGCAGTTATCAATGGAGGGCATAATGAAGGACAGCAACAATAGCATTCTTTTTCATTGTTTTAGATGTTACTAATCTGCAGTATGTCAAACATTTCCATTTTGTCCATTTGGTATCTTTTGCTTCTTAGCATTTTATGGATGTGAGAGCTCCTAGCTAACTTTGGCTGATTTTAAAACAAGGTTGAATGAAGACTACCAGGAAAATAATCTTCATATCTCAGAAGAAGACAACAATAAACTACCTCTGGATCTGAAGGAGATGGGCGATTCAAAAATGTGAAAAATGACAAATATATATTAAAAAAGCAAGCAAACAAACAAAACACCCAGATGGACATATCCATACAATCATTGAAAGCCAATGAACCTTTATTTAGCGAATGAAATGCCCAAGCAATATTGGAAATGGCTTAACAAACAGGGCCAATAGTTAGGGGATCTCAATTGCGCTTTAGAAAAAGGTTCAGAGTAAATGTTAATCTGGAGTGGAAAAGAACTTTCTAATACTACTTTACATGAGTTTTGTGAGAATTTAGTCTGCAAGAAAACTTTCCCATGTCCCAAGACATCTGTTTTGTAAATACTGAAAGCAGACTCAACAGAAGATGTGGATCTCTCTTCAGCAGTAGTCAGGATCAAAAGTTTAGCTTGGTCTTGAGAAGATCATTCATGCACTAGTAACTCCTGGATTTACTAAACCTTATTTAGCTTAGAGAACTCACTCTTTTCGGGCTCTGAGCCACTCTTGCTATGTACAATTTGAACGTTACAGCGTTGCTCATCCATACGTCCTCCCTGCACATGAGTCAGCAGATTGAAGAAGCCTTCTTGTTCTGGAGAGCCTGACTGTAACAGAAGAAGAATAAGAGCAATAATCAATTGGTTCCAACTTTAGCTGTCTTAATTTTTCCACTGGCCGGTCTTTGTCATCAACCTCAGAGGCAAAGCTATGGAGCTTTCTAACATTGCTCACTTGAAGGATTCAGCTAGGAATATATGACAATCAGACATTTACTGACTTGTTGAGCTTTTGATATGATATTGAACTACAAAGGCCAATAATAGACTTATGTGGCCCTCTCCTCTGTGTATTTCTTGCTTTGCCTTATCAAACTTAATGAAAAAAGAGTGAATATGAATTCTAAAGAGCCGTGGTGGCGCAGTGATTAGAATGCAGTGTTGCAGGCTATGACAGTCTGCCTGCAGTTTGGCAGTTCGAATCTCATCAGGTTCAAGGTTGACTCAGCCTTCCATCCTTCCGAGGTGGGTAAGACGAGGATCCAGATTGTTGGGAGCAATATGCTGACTCTGTAAACTGCTTAAAGAGGGCTGTAAAGTAGTGTGAAGTGGTATATCAGTCTAAGTAATATGCTATGCTAAAGCACTATTTGTGCCATCTAGGATAGATGCGCGAATGAAAAGATTGCTAGCATTTATTCAGAAGGAATCTGGCAGCACCTTTTCTATTTAACAACTTTTACTTAAAGATATGAGTTTTTGTGAGCTTTGGACTTTGCATATACTGTATGCACAGTAGTGCATTTGGGCATCCAAAGCACATTCTATTAGACCATTGGCCTCCCCTAAATGGGACTAGATTACAGCTCTCAATAACCTGATCATCAGGGCTAAAGGTGAGGAGAACTTTTAGTACAGCAACATCTAGATGGCTGCAAGCTCTCTACTGCTGGCAGAAATCCTTGAAATACCTTTGCAAGTGTAGCAACTTTCATTATTCCTATCAGAGGCTGTACTCAGTAGATTCTGACCAGTTCTGGAGAACCGATAGCAGAAATTTTGAGTAGTTCAGAGAACCAGAAAATACCACCTCTGACTGACCCCGCCCCCATCTATTCTCTGCCTCATGAGTCCCAGCTGATTGGGAAGAAGTGGGGATTTTCAGTAACCTTTCCCTGGAGTGGAAGGGAATGGAGATTTTACAGTATCCTTCCCCTGCCATGCCCACCAAGCCACGCCCACAGAACCAGTAGTAAAAGTTTTTGAATCCCATCACTGATTCCTATGATATAAATCGAGGTTGCTTGTATGCAAAAGGTGAGAAAGTGGCTCGGTCTTCTATTTTATTGATTCTGTTCCTTATGGTAATAATGTATTAAGTACCGTAAACCTTTGACTAAATAAGCCTCCTTTCAACAGACTCTGGTTGTAATGGATAAACTTTCCATCAGAATACTTTTCCTGAGTAACAGTCAGGTCAGATGCAGCCAAAGTAGTTGAAATTTATATTAGTTTTTGTTAACATCATTTGCGTAAATTATACAGATGGTATAGGTTATTGCAAGCGACATATTTTGCATCATTTCCTTAATAACTTCATTACTGAAATTATGCAGATTGCACAGATGACATACTTTCTATTGACCTTTGGAAGTAAAACAAGCCCTTCCCCCACACGGTCCTTATATGGAGGTTTTACCCAAAAGTAGATTATAGATGATGACTCATCTCTTAATCATATCCCTTTGCAAAATGTAACATCAGAAAAAGGACTCACAGCTCTTTACACAGCATCAGGACTGTATAGGAAAACCAAGAGTTCGCTTTTAAAACCTTAGGTTCAAAAAAAAGGGGGGGGAGCAAAGGATGTTTTTCATTTGCTCATTAAATGAGCTTTAAGCTTTATGTTGGTTGCTCAATGTCTGGAGGCAAATGCTGAAGCAAAATAACTGGGATCAGCTTAATGCTATTATCATCCCCTGGACAATAACTAAAGCAGATGGAGTGTGATCTCCCAGGGAGGAAGGGGTCTTTATATAAGGCACAGCTATCATTCATTGAGCTGCCAGCGGGAGGAGGAAGAGCTTAGAATGAATGATCTTCTGAAAAATGGCAAAAGATCCTACTTGACTTCCCTTTTGACTTAGAACAGCTGGAGAGCAAATGAGAGAGACACATGGTAGGAGACTCTGTCAGAACCAGAGTAACAAACATGCCTGAAAATACTGGAGCGAGGGAAGCAAATACACTGCCTTTAGAATAGCGATAGCAATAGCACTTAGACTTATATACTGCTTCACAGTGCTTTACAGCCCTCTCTAAGTGGTTTACAGAGTCAGCATATTGCCCCCAACAATCTGGATTCTCATTTTACCCATCTTGGAAGGATGGAAGGCCAAGTCTACCTTGAGCCTGGTGAGATTTGAATTGCCAAATTGGAGGCAGCCAGCAGTCAGTAGAAGTAGCTGCAGTATCTTATTCTCACCATTGCACCACTGTGGCTCAGAAGAGAAATATAGAGCACTTTCTTTTAGTATCAATAATGTTTCTATAATATTTGTTTTTCAAAATAGTATATAATTGATGATTGCTTTTCTAATAAATAATAGGCTTGAAGTGGTTTGTTTAGCCTCTGTACTGTAAACCCAGAAGAAAGGTTAATTTGGAATCCAGATTATGTGAATTTAACAACTGTATCTAGGTAAGAAGAAATAGTAATTCTTACTTTGGAAAGTTTGAAGGATGGTGTAACTGCTTATCTCCTCCTTGCAAAACTGCAACCATGAATTAGTGCCAAATACTGTTAAATACCAATCAAATACTCCAGATTATTGGGGGCAAGATGCTGACTCTATAAACTGCTTAGAGAGGGCTGTAAAAGCACTATGAAGTGGTACATGAGCAGAGGTGAAATCCAGCAGGTTCTGACAGGTTCTGGAGAACTGTTAGCGAACATTTTAAGTAGATTGGAGAACCAGCAAATGCCACCTCGGGCTGGCCCCACAGTGGGGTGGGAGTGGAGATTTTGCAATATCCTTCCCACAAGAGTGGGGAGGGAATGGGGATTTTGCAGTATCCTTCCCCTGCCACACCCACCAAGCCACACCACTCCACAGAACCGGTAGTTAAAATTGAATTTCACCACTGTTTATAAGTATAAGTGCTATTGCTAATACCGTTCATTGTTTGATGTTTTGTTTTTAGCTTACTGTCCCATCATATAGTGTCCAACTGAAGGTTCCTATTTGTCTTTGCAAACGATGCTGATTTTTGAAAAATGATGATCAATTTTCCTTGACCATAAGTTGTTTCTTATTCTTCCTCATATCTTATCCAAACATATGAGAAAGGCTGCGCATCAGCACTGGCAGAATCCCAAATGCACAATCAAATCTGCCTTATTGGAAAAGATCCATGTGACGTTAGAATCAAAGCAAACCTACCTATGAATTCTCATGAATTTTAGCCATTCAAAATAATACAAGACCTCTCCCCATAAAAGTATGAATCTTAATCCCCAAATACCGTATGTTAGGACCTGAATCTGACTTGCAGGGGAGGGGGAAAATCTACATGTTTGGACATATCAGAATATGATTTTTGATCAAGTGAATTCAAGCATGGGTGAGATAGTAACCCCTTAATGGCTTCCACAAATTACGTTCATCTAAGCGTTTAGAAACAAGGTAGCTGCTGCACTTAATGTTTAGATTTTTCCCTGCAACTAATAAGACTGTACAGGTAGTCCTTGACTTACAACCATAATTGGGAACTGAATTCCTGTTGCAAAGTAAGGGGTTGTTAAGTGAGTTCCACCCACTTTTATGACCTTTTTTCGTATGGTTGTTAAATGAATCACTGCACTTAAGTGAATCACATGATTGTTAAGTGAATCTAACTTCCCTGAAAGACTTCTTGTTGGAAGCTGGCTAGGAAGATAACAATGGCAATCACGTAACCCTGGAATTTTGCCACTGTTGTACATACATACATGCTAAGCGCCCAAAGCGCCATGCGATCCTAGGGATGTTGCAATGGTTAAAAGTGTGAGGACAGGTTGTAAGTCATTTTTTTTTCTGGTCTGTTGTAACTTCAACCAGTCACTTTAAAAATGGTTGTAAATTGAGGTCACAGCATACAGCTGAATTCAAATGATGAAAGTGAATAAATGAATAAAAATCATTTTTGCCTTCCCTGATCAGGCACATCAAGGCATATCTTCATGTCAGTCAAATGGTCTGGTTTTTCTCTTTGTTTTGGGAGTACCATTCTCATTTAGAGTATGAACTTTGGGATGTCTGTGGATAAGCTCTTCATTTAAATGAGGAAGACGTAGGAAGGGTCGCCAATGAGATTCCTTCCTGTTCCTGCATCTATTTTGCAGGTTTATATAATTTCAAGACCATTCCCTGTCATAATAAACAATGTCTGTCCTTTCCTGAATTTGTTGCCCTAAATAACTGGTGCCAGAGCTGTGCTTAGAAACAAAGGTTGATGTGATTTTTAAGTAACCTGTTGAGATGATTGATTTCTAACTAATTATAGGTAGAAGAAATTAAAATGGATTCTACTGGTTTCAAGTAATTTACCATAATAACACCAGCATTTATTTTTACCTTTCGACTAGCCCCTACAGAAAAGATATTTAAAATAATTCCTAACCTTTTTTTTGTCTAGGGATTATGGAGTATATTAGCCAAACCTAAGTGAGCTGCATAGTTCATAGGCACTTACCATTTATCTTAATAGCCCATCCATGTTTCATCTGCCAAAGGCTTTCTCTGAGAACTTAAGCTTTTATAGGAAGTTAGATTGCGTGTTTATAGATTGATGGAGTTTGGTTTTTGCATTTTTTAATTTTCCATTTAAGCATGAAAAATTACTGAGGCTGAGGTCACTTACCTCTCCCAAATAATAACCCCTCTTTTTTTTAATTATAAGGGATAATTTAGGGATTCATAGAACTACTGCCTTATCTGAATGATAAAACCATAAGCTTCCTGTAACTAAAGCAGCTGCTGAAAGTATGGATTAAAATAATGCATAGTAACTATGAATTAAAAAATGTGTTCCCAAGTACAATTTGTTTCATAGTTCAGATAAATGCA